GAGATGCAGAGCAGATATCCTCACCTATTCGAGGCTTCAGGTATGTTTCTTGACTCGTTCGAGGATGAACGTTTGTTCAAGTTGGGGAGGATGTGACGGCCCGGCCAGTCGTCTCATGAGTTACCGTTTCATTTCCCCCATTTTTGCTTCTTTATGCTTCGTTATCCGTGTTTTGTGGCATCGGGTTGGTCGGATGGAATCCGGAACGATTTTGGTAAGGTTTGAGACACTTAGTCTCTTTTAAGAAAGTTTAAGTTGGAAAAGTCAACTGGATGTTGACTTATGTGTTATAGAGCTCGGATGTGAGTTCCGATGGTTCAGTTAACTTCGGGAGATGATTTATGACTTAGGAGCGTGAACGGAATGGGTTTTGGAGGTTCAGAGTAGATTTAGGCTTGAATTGGTGAAGTTAAGATTTTGGCGATTTTCGGTTGATAGGCGAGATTTTGATATAGGGTCGGAACAAAATTTCGAGAGTTGCAATAGCTTTGTTGTTTTATTTGGGATGTGCGTGTAAAATTTCAGGTCATTCGGACGTGGTTTGGTTGGGTTTTTTTATCAAAAGCATATTTCAGAAGATTTTAGGAATTTAGGCTTGAATCCGATGTGTTTTGGGTGATTTGATGTTGTTTGAGGTGTTTTGATGATTGGAACAAGTTTGAATAAGGTTTTAGGATGTGTTGGTGCCCTTGGTTGAGGTCCCGGGGGCCTCCGGTGAGTTTCGGGTAGTCAATCGGATCATTTTGGAGTTTAGAAAATTGCAGAAAAATCTGTTCAGCTGTTGCAGGGATTTTACCCTTCGCGTTCGTGAGTGGAGCCTCGCGTTCATAAAGAGGCAGTTGAGGAAGGCAAGGATTAAGCCTTCGCGTTCGCGGAAGGCTGGGAAGTGGTGCATCGCGTTCGCGAGAAGGACTTCGCGATCGCGTAGAGGAATTTGGGTCAGATTAGTTCGAGGTCAAGTGTTTATCGCGTTCGCGTAAGAGTAAGCGCGTTCACGATGGATAAGGTAGAAGAAGCACCGCGTTCGTGATGGTCGTGTCGCATTCGCATAGAGGAAAAGTTGGTCAAAGTGAGTTTGTGCTTCGCGAATGCGAAGGTTTGACCGCGTTCGCAAAGAAGGAAATTAAGGCCTGGGCAGAATGTTTTTAACTCGTCTTGTCCGCGATTTTGGGGCTCATTTCCTCCATAGTTGGCCATTTTGGGAGATTTGTGAAGGAGATTGAAGAGGGATTCAAGGGGAATCGTTGGGAGGTAATATTTTCGGACTTAAAACTCGATTATTATGTGAATTCTACCTAGAAAATCATGGAAACGTAAAAAAAAATGGAAGAACTAGGGCTTGGAATTTTGGACTTATGATTGGGGATTTGGAGGACCATTTGGGGTCGGATTTGAGAACTTTTGATATGTATGAACTCATGGGGAGATAAGGAATCTATTTATGTAAAAATTTCTGAATTCCGAGACGTGGGCCCGAGGGTCGAGTTTTGGTAATTTCGGGATTTGTGCCCTTTATTGATTGTTTTCGCTTGGGCTTTGTTCCCTTAGCATTTTTTGACGTTCTCGTTCTGATTTTGATAGATTCGACACGCGTGGAGGTTGATTCGAGGGGCAAAGGCGTCAGGAGTTAGAGATTTAGCCGGTTCGAGGTGAGTAATGGTTGTAAATGATTTTCTGAGTGTTTGAAACCCCGGATTGCACATCGTAGTGCTATATTAAGATGAGGCACACGTTTGATGACGAGCGTGGGGTCGTGCACTATTGGGGATAGTGACTTGGTCCATCCCGAAAGACTATTTTACCGTGTATTTGATTGAAAACTATTTGCTATCATCATTATTTGGGTTGAATGCCATATTTGGGCCTACTGCCAACTATTTGAACCCTTCGGGGATTTTTATTGATATTTCCTCACTATTTTGACTTTATACTTGAACTCAGTCATGTTATTTTCCATTGTTTTACTACTCAGCCATGTTTACTCAGTTTTAATACTTAAATGACATTTTAAATGAAGTTTGGGTTGAGAAACACTGTTTTACTATTTCCCGAGGGGCTTGTGAGGATTTTGACTGAGTAAGGCCGAGGGCCTATGTTGTGAGGATTGACACTGATTATAAGGCCGAGGGCCTAAGATATGTACGCCACGAGGTGGCTTGTTTGATATGAGGCTGAGGGCCCAATGATGATGCCACGAGGTGGCTTGATATTGCGCGGGCCGTAAGGGGCCCCTCCAGGAGTCTGCACACCCCCAGTGAGCGCGAGTACCCATTATGATGTGAGATTGAGCCCGAGGGACTGGTATTGTTTTGAGATGTTGCCCGAGGGGCGGATTTGCTGATACTATGCCCGAGGGGCGAACTTCTATTTGTTTACTTTACCTTAATTACCTGTCAATTACTTGTTTGCTTGTTGAAAGAAGTTTTACTTGATTTTTCATTGGTTTACTGCTTTTAAATGATTTTTACTGCTTCACTATAGAATGTTATGTGCCTTACGTGTTTTCTTACTTTCAATCGTTATTTACATTTGTTACTCACTGAGTTGGAGTACTCACTTTACTCCCTGCACCTCGTGTGCAGATTCAGGCATAGCTGGTCCCGCTCCCAAGTGCTGATCCCTCCAGTTTCAGGCAAGCGTTCGGAGACTACGAGGTAGTTGTTGACGTCCACAGCCCCGTGTCTCTACTCTTTTATATTTGGGCACGTGCGTTGCACGTGTATCCCATATTAATATTTACATAATGTGTTTACAATTATATATTTGTGCATATATATTCTAAAAATATTTGACTGGGCTATAAGTTAAACATTAAATTGCACGTGCAATTAACATTATTAAATATCTATGGTACTTCCTTTTATGAAGGAAGTCAAAATATGAACTATGTTATATTTTTGAGTAGTCATACTTTCAATTAAAACTTCTCTTTCTAACTATGTAAGTTTAATTATTCTAACTCTTATGTACGTGTCAACCATAATTATTGTAATAGTTACTACCACACAGCATAAGTACCTTCCTCGTTTAGGGACAACTACTAAAATATTTGTATAAAACAAAATAGTAGAAATATTTGCTTGGAGTTTTAAAAAAGAAACGAAAATATACAAAACAGTGTCCTTGCATGAGTAATTGAGAGGCTAACAAAATTGGTATAAGGGATGGAAATAGCCACAAAAGTTATGCCATCTCATTTAATTTGTCAATCTCTGTACATTAAGACCATGAACAATTATATATCCAGCAATTTCATTTCACTTTTTTCTTTTCAGTATTAATACTTTATCAAATCAATGTAAAGTACTTTGTCAAATTTTTATTGCGTAGTGCAAACAAAAACACCAATTTATATATATAGCTTAACCAACCAAAGAAAACAATTGAAAATACAAAAAATAATGATGTAAAATTGTTCAACATGATAATGAGAAAAACAGAGGATCATACAAATTAAGATTCAATAAAAGTCTCACTTTGCAGTACATCTCAAACAAAGCAGAAAAAATGTATCTACACAAGCCAAAAATTACATCTAACTAAAGACAGTAAATACAAACGTGCATGTTATAAAAAAAATAATGTATCCGACGTCCCAACAATCACATTATTTTATATTCGTAATATGAAAAATAAGAAAAAGAATAGTACTACTCCTATTACAAATGAGTATGTATCACTACACTTTCTTATCAAACTTCTATCCTTTGTTTAAAAGAAAACATTCTAGAATAGACAAAACCTCTAAGGATTAATCAATTGGAAAACAATAAAGCCTTCCGTTGGCAAATAGACCATAAACTAATTCTAGTAGTTCTTTTGCAGAAAGTTAATATTATAGTACACAGTTGTCCCATAAATACAAGCCTCTAGATTGTAGGAGACATGAAAAAATAAAAAAAGAAATTAATTTACCTATCAAGATGTTGCTGAGCAAAATATGACAAATGAAAAGAGACAATACATAATGTGGGCAAAATGGAATTTCTCGTAGAAAGAAGAGAAAATTGTTAAATTGATCTGGCACTTTGTTTTGCACTTTTATAAATACAATAAAAGATATGAAAAGTTTACCCATAAATGTTATTATTAGTGGCATCTCAAAGGACCAAAACTGATATAGATGTGGAGCTTTAAAATTTTTTGCCAAACTGAACATGTAATATCTCCAGTAGACTAAACGATCATTCCTTTTTATTAAGCAAAAAAATGTGCACACCTACAACATGTTATAACCGATGGCAGATGAAAGAATCCTAATTCAATGCAGTTAATATTTTCATCTAACATACTCATTTCATTGATTTAAAGAGTAATATGGTGATTTAGCTATTGAAGGGCATTTATGTAATTCAACTTTAGACTTAGGGTCTTCCCACTTTTAGTATAGTAATATAAAATAATAATAATGATATAGATAGATAGATATAAATATAAATATGCTTTCTACTTTACAAGTTTTGTTACCGTAATTTTGTTAAGAGCTTTTGATGGTCTAGTTTGAAAACAAAGTCAAATGAAATTTTTTACCCTTAATCTTATTGTGGAAATTGAATGTTTGCTTTGAACCGATGATTTATTGGTATCAACTTCTCTAAATGTATGAGGAAGGAGTAATGCCACGTACACGCTATCCTCCTCAAACTTCTATGGTAAGATTACACCTGATATATTGTCGTTGTTATTATAATCTCAATGTAAAAATAGTGCCTTCGAAGTAGTATCCAAGTTTTGTGTCCAAAAGCAGTAAAGCAGTCTAGCGAACTACAAACTTAAGACATACTCCGTAAAAAGCAAAGAATTAGCACAGAAATCTTTTTAATTCATCGATATTCGGTAATGTGAAGGATTCAGTTTTTCTATTTAATTAATTAATAAAAAAGGAATATTCGGAGCGAGGTAGAAATGGGCTTAGATCCGAATACCCGATCCGTTTGCAGGAGTCGTGTGTGCCTTCTCTTCGAAGGCTTAGGGGAATCCTACGACACGCCAAATTTAGCAAAGCACTTCAATAGTTTACCTATATTCGAACCCCTTTGCGCCTCCGTAAAGTCTGACATTTCTTCTCTCTCCGCGTCTCAGTAGAAGGATACAAAAAGTCTGAATTCTTAAAAGAGAGCCTTTAAATTACCTCTGGTCTCTCGGCCTTCTTTTTTACAATTATAGGGATTTGTACATTATTTTTTCTATAATATACATACATAAACACACACAGGATTATTGTTTTCTCATGCTCAGAGGGACATTCAACCATTGCTCTCTCTTCGGGATTTACTTCTAAAACATGTCTTACGCCTATCTCTTCAAGTATATTATCATCGGCGATACCGGTAATTATTCCTTTTCCCTTTTCTATTTTTAATTGCTTGTTTCGGTTATGCTATTTTTTATGTTCCGACGATTTTGAGGATTTTTTTTTTTGGTTTAACACCTGATTTGGATCTTATCAATAGGTTCCCGCTGATTTTGATTGTACTTAATTTGGCGTTTCTAAAATTTTCATTATCTCGATCTGGAATCGGAGTTTTAATATATGACAATGCCATTTATGCTTCTATGTGAATGGCTGTCCTGCCGTCCTGATATTTGATATTTCTATGTTCTTCAGAAATTTGAATGATATGATTTCGTGATTGTATCACGTTGCATTTCATTTCTAAATTGATCTTGATGATCTATTCGTGATGGCTGCAAATGGATCATCTAAAAAAGGATTTTATCAGCCCAAGCCATTTGATCTAGGTCATTTGAATATTTTTCATCATGATATCAAGCTATAGTTGGATTTGAAAGGCTATCAAAGTTATAAGTTCTTGTCTCTGTGTGAAGTCCTGATGAGTAATCTACAAATGACATTCACGGAATTCTTCATAGGTAGCTTCGTGTGCAAATTCTTAACAAGTAAAACAGTTTAGCCTTCTATCTCATCGATATATTATGAAGGATCTTGACTGTCTGAGAGTTGGAAAATACTGTAGCTGTGCTCTAGCTTGCGTGTTTGTGTTGGCAGACTCGTTACTTTAGGGATAAATTGTATGTGGCTCGTGGTAAAGATGATATTTCAAGAGTGTTTTCAGCATATCAATTTGATAAACTGCAGTGTGTAGACATAATTCTTTAGGAACACTGGCAATCCATGTAATGAGAATTTAACCTCTTGGTAGTATGCGTAATGGTGACCATGTTAAATGATTCTTCATCTTATGCGATGTTTTCAGTTGTGTAGAGACATACTCAGAAGTCAGAACTCCTTGTAGTTATTTATGTGATGATGTCCATGCATTTTCCCCAAGCATTTCTTGCAGTTTCACTAGATTCTATTGGTATATGTATCTGATGTTAGATTATACATTGCTGAAGCCTTCTACATTAAATTATTGATAAGGTTATTAATTTTTTTATGCAGGAGTTGGAAAATCATGTCTTCTTTTGCAATTTACTGACAAACGATTTCAGCCGGTCCACGACTTGACCATTGGGGTTGAATTTGGGGCTAGAATGATCACAATAGACAATAAGCCCATAAAACTACAGATCTGGGATACGGTCTGTCACACATCTTTTCCTTCTTTCTCTGTTTATTCAATTATCTTAAATGCCTCAAAAATGCTATGATTAGTCTGCAGTTCAGCTGGTCGTGGTTACTAGGAGTTTCAGTTTAGCTATTCAAATGGCTAACATTCTGTCTGTGGTGGTCGAATCATTCTTATGGTGTTCTCTTTATTCTTTGCTCATGCTAGTACGGATGATTAAAAACATGAAACTAATGAGTTTTCCCCATTACAGGCCGGTCAAGAATCATTCAGATCTATCACGAGGTCATACTACAGAGGTGCTGCTGGGGCACTACTTGTTTATGATATTACAAGGTATTTTCTGCAGTGTCTTTGGCACTTCCATACTGGTAGGAAACTCGAGCATACACCGTCTCATAATATAGATGATAGTACTTCTTGATCTCTTTTTTTGCATTGAGCAAAGTTCCAGAAATATACTTCTACAAATTCTCGTTGCCCAGGATACATTGAAAGTGCATAGATAACTGCATTGTAATCTTTTATGTTAATTTATTATACTAAATTACTGTTGAGTGTTTTCCCTAACAAATGGCAGAATATTTCGTTCTAATCTTTCACTTTATTGTTTGTAGCCTTTCTAATGTTGTTCTTATCATGATGGCTAACATGTCTCTGTCTAGAGAGAGTAGCAGAACAAGTATCTAAAGCTAATAACTATAAGCACTGGGTTACTTCTGTTCTTATTCCTTTTGTCTTCACCGAAAAGAAACTCAATATGTAACTATGGTCTATTTATCAAAAAAATATAGAAGTATGGTCTATTTGATTTACTGATGATTTTGTTTCCCACATTCCAAACATTTTAGGAGGGAAACATTTAATCACCTTGCTAGCTGGCTGGAAGATGCTAGGCAGCATGCAAATGCAAACATGTCCATAATGCTGATAGGAAACAAGTGTGATCTGGCCCACAGACGGGCTGTAAGTACAGAGGAAGGCGAGCAATTTGCCAAGGAAAATGGGTTGATATTTATGGAGGCCTCTGCCAAAACAGCTCAGAATGTTGAAGAGGTAAGACATTCCCTCGTATGCTACTTTTCTGACCTTTGATACCCATAAACGAACATTTGTTTCTAACTAAATTTAGAGATTAGTTGTTTATCTGATTTCTGTTTTCGCACTTTTCAGGCTTTTATCAGAACAGCCTCAACAATTTATAAGAAAATACAGGACGGAGTCTTTGATGTATCAAATGAGGTACGCCTTGCCCTGACCGCATTGGATCAACCTTAGGAAAATTTGTGGAAAAAGAACACATTTTTTTGTTGGTGTATTAAGAACTTTTCTTTGGAAAACGCCAAAGCCACTTCTTAGAAAACAATTTTTGGAAGAAAGTCTTTGAATAATGCTTCTTGAAAAAACTTAAACACGTACATTGAAGATTTTGTGCAAGATATCAAAATTTATCCACAAATAAATTGCCACCGAAGGAGCTTCATCTCCTATAGAATTTGGTCAATTGACCAAGCCCGACATCCTACATGAGAAAACAGACCGTCAGATCACCCTTTTCAGGTTCATCTCGTGTTGTTGGGCATATCTAGCTGCATTATTTGCAAGATAAATTCTGTAGTAACTTCTGAAGTGCCAATTTCCCTGCTGAAAAGTATTTTAAGTGGAAAATGTAACATGATCTAACTCAGAGTAACTGTTTTATTAGCTCCATAATGGATTAGTCTTTTCATTCTCTGATTTGAAAAATTGTGCTCTTTAATTCAATCAACCATTGACCAGTAAAGGCAATTTTTATGTGGAACATTGAGGGTGAATTTGGTGCCTATTGAGAAAGGATAAGGAACATGCTATCTTAGGACGGGAAGGCAAGTTAATTTGAAGAAATTAAAGACTTAGATATTTTCTCAACCATCCTGTGAAACACCAATCCATCAATCTGCATTGCAAAGAGCATGTAGACGATAAACAAGATTTTCCCATATGATTTCCCAACACTCCATCTCCAATGTAGCTAGCAGAAGAGAAAAGAGAAAAAGATCGATCTGTTGTTATTAATGATTATCTGTTCTGTATCACATTAATCAAGTTAAACTCCCATTCTCTAAACTGATTAAATAGCAAAAAAGTTTTTATCAGTTTGTTTTGACAAAACCTATAGGCGGGGTAGCAAATGAAGGGGCAACATGAATGAAAAATAAAAACGCGTATCTCACATCATGGATATCTTTGTTCAACACTATGTTGTCATTTACCCTTTTGTTGGAGTTTTATTTGCAATAACTTTAAGAATTGCTACAATAACTGAAACATAACATCGTAATGGATTATAGGGAAAAACTACTGAGAATAGTACCTTCCATGTTAAGATTATTGAACTTAGAAAGTACTGCAATAACTCCTAAAATAAAAATAAAAATCTATCTTACGTATTGCAACGTCTTTAAGTATTGATAACTAAATTAGAATAATTGATCTATTTATTTACACTCACACAAAATCACACACATAAAATGAGCGAAGGGAATGAAAAAAGAACAAAACAACAATAAATATTATAAAAACATATGCATGGAGTTGGGAATACATATTAGTTAGGTAGGTGGAATCTGTACATTGATTACATGAGTTTTGATGTTACGAGGTACAAACATGATATTAGTGAGTGTAATATGTTCATATCACATGCTTGTACCTTATAATATCAAAACTAATGTAACCATTTACATATTGTACATATCTAACAAATTGCTTGTAAAAATTTGTTTTTTGTGTGTTCGAATAAATAGATTAATTCTTCTAGTTTAGTTATCAACTCTTAAAGATGTTGCAATAAGTAAGATAGACTTTTCTTTTTGTTTTTAGGATTCATTACAGTACTTTTTTAGTTCAATTGATCTTAACATACGGGGTACTATTCTCAGTAGTTTCTTCTCTATAATCCATTATGGTGTTATGTTTCAGTTATTGTATCAATTATTAAAGTTGTTGCAAGTAAAACTCCAAAAAGAAAAGGTAAATGACAACATAGTGTTGAATAAAGATATCCATGATGTGAGATGCATGTTTTTATTTTTCATTGTAGTAGCTTTTTTAATGGTACTTGCTCCCCTTCATTTGCTACCCTGCTTATAGATTATCGTCAAAACAAATTGATAAATACTTTTTCGATCACTAATAAGTTTAGAGTTTAACTTGATTAATGTGTAACAGATGGATCTTTTTCTCATTGGAGATGGAGTGTGGGGAAATCATATGGAACAAATGCCTTTATTTTCTTGTTTATCGTCTAGAGGCTCTTTCCTCACCTTTCTTTTCTTGTTCATTGTCTATTGGCTCTTATTATTATCTCATATGATGCCTCCGGAAGACAAAAGACATTGTAGTGTATCTCTACATTTTGATATACTGAGCAACCTTGAGCATATATTTCATGATATTCTGATACATTTGCCTTTACTAGTTGCTGTGAGGACAATCATATTATCAAAGAAATGGAGATATGAATGGTGTAGACTTCCACAATTGACTCTTGATCAAACACTTTGGAAAACACACAAGTTACTTTAAAATATTATACGCCCCTTCATGAAGGACCAGTTAAAAAGTTCACCCTCTGTATTCCGTATTTGGTTGAGCATATGTTAGCATAGTCCTTGTTTAGTGGAGTTTCATTTCTGTTTAGTACTGATAAAAATGAGTGTCCTGATTACTGTTATGTTAATGAAGAAAGCTGAATTTTATGTTGCAAAAAGTTCAGTAAATGTTTATGATCTCAGTCATAATTGATTTGCCCCATGTATAATTCACATTTACATAATATTAGTTTTCATAACTAACGATTTCCTTTTTCCTTTGCAGTCTTATGGAATAAAAGTTGGATATGGAGGCATTCCCGGGCCTTCAGGTGGAAGAGATGGAGCTGCTTCTCAAGGAGGGGGTTGTTGTAGTTAAAAATGGACATTTATTATTAATCTTTAACCTATCATGTGTTCCTACGGTTGTTTATTTGTAGTTTGAGATTCTTAATATTGTGTGTTTTCTTCAGTGAGTTTGTTTAAAAATGGATATATGTGCAGAAATAAGTAAATACCGTACATAAAGACATTGTAATTTTCATTTTCGCATTTTATTTGTAATATTAACATTTTCAAATGTGAATATGGTATCAGATCATCTGAGCTTGTGTGAACGAAAGAAAGTTCAAAAGCCCCCTGGTCCTCTCCTTTTTATGTGCCCTTGTCTATTTTGCGCACCGCTGTTTGGCCAGATAGACGTAGATGGCACGCCTGTCTCGTGTAAAGGGTGTGAAACTGAGGTGTTCCAACAGCCAAATAAATTACCTACCCTCAGTATTTTACCGCAAACAATTATTACCAAAATTGAACAAAGTTTCATTGAATGATTCTCAACTCTCGTAGTCTCTTCCTTTTTTTTGGTTAGGTCGAACGGTCACCTGCCCTGGATCAATTGGGTTTATGCATGGCTCTTTGCAAACTTGTAGTATTTAATTTTATGACGTTACTTTTTTTTTAAATATGAGAAATTTACTTTTACACATAGGTTATTTTTTTAATTTTAAAATTGTATGGGTGCTGAGTTTAACAATTTTAAACCCAATGAGAAAGGATCTATGACAAAGATTGATGTTTAGTGAAGTTACTGGCAAGTTGGATGGAAGAAAAAACTGATCGTCCATTAAAACTTGTTGCTTTCTCGCATGATTGATCCTAAGCCTCACTAAACAGAGCAAAATGGGCTTCCCTCATAATTATTTATTACTATAATTAATTCCTTGAAACTTGATACACCAACTCTCCTTGGGAATGTGACAGCATAGCATAAACAAGTATACCAATTCTGGCAATTTGGGATCATTCCAGATCTCACCTGTCATTCATTTAAGTACCAATTATTTCTAACAAAATCTCAATTAAACAATTTATTTCTCCTTTATAATAATCACATTTTACTACGAACGGTTTATAGACGTCGGTTACCCCTTTTTTTTCTCACGCACATGTGATCATATCTAACTCTCCTTCAACCTAGCGAAATGACATCCACTAGTTAATAATCTCTGACCTATATTTCGGAAAATAATGATTCTAATAGCATGTACATGCTTCCCCTCGTCAGATTTTTCCCAGCAAAAGTACAAAATCATATTTTTTATCCCCAAAATACCCTCACTCACTTGAGATGTCTAACAAAACATTTCTATGGCCCTCTCGTAAATTCAGCCAAAACTAGGTCTATATAGTTAACATTGAGACGCTTAAAATCAGCAGTATAAAAACAAAACCCCAGCTCCGTTTCAATTTCAATCACACTCACTGCCACACACTCCATAGCAGAGAGAAATAGCTGAGTGGAGCAGAGCATATCCATGGCTTCCATTGGAGCCTTAAAATCTTCGCCTTCTCCCAAAAATTGCATCAATGAGAGAAGAAATGATGCTACTCGTGCAATGTCCTTTCGAAACCTTTCCTTTTCGTCGTCTCATCTCTCTGGAGACAAGCTAATGTCTATGGCAACCTTACATTCTCAGCAGCGCCATTCCAGCGAGAGGAGGAGTCCACTGATCGTGTCGCCTAAGGCTGTTTCTGATTCACAGAATTCGCAGACATGTCTTGATCCTGATGCTAGCCGAGTAAGCACAAAATAGACTCTTTTCGGCTCGATTTTATCAATGATTTCGTAATCTTTATGCATATAGTATATATACCAATCTACATGGTGCAAGTGTGTGAAAAATAATATTTTTAAAAAAAAATATTTTCTCCAATTTATCACTAAAATGAGGTGATTATTGGATTGCGGCGATTGGAGGACATAGATCGTGGAAGAGATGGAGTGAATTGCTTCAGAGTGAAGTATTTTGACTGACTTAGTTCTAGATCCAAGATCCTCTCACCTCTTCCGCCTCTTTCTGACACATTATCACGTGTATAATTAAAAGTGTGCTAGGACTATTTGATTTTGTTTAATATTACTCAAAATTATTTGCTAAACATACTTCAAAGATTCATTATGCACATGATAATCATAAGCTTATAATTTTTTTACTTGGAAAAGAAGATAAAACAAGCATTATCTTCTGGAACTTGTAATCATTGGATCTGACTATCTGAGCATGAGCCAGGGCATTAGAATCCCGAGTGTCGCTGTCAGGCATTGTTCGTAGTGTCTGTCTCACCTACTAATCCTTAAACCATGCACCTTTTAATTGCAATTACTAGCAGATTGCCATTTCAAGTTGTCAACTTTAAAAAGAAAATGTCAACTTTGTAGTATTTTCATTAAAAAATAATATGAATCTTGTTATATTATGGGTTAACTGTATTGACTTATTGTTTCCAGAAAGCCTTGATTGACAATAGCTTAACTAGTAAGTATGATTTATGTCTTCTTAAAAGCGAAGTTAAACTTGCATTGTTAATGCGATTTGATGCAGAGTGTTTTGGGAATTATTCTTGGAGGTGGAGCTGGGACCCGACTTTATCCTCTAACTAAAAAAAGAGCAAAGCCAGCAGTTCCTCTTGGAGCAAATTATCGTCTGATTGACATTCCTGTAAGCAATTGCTTGAACAGTAACATATCCAAGATCTATGTTCTCACACAATTCAACTCTGCGTCTCTGAATCGACACCTTTCACGGGCATATGCTAGCAACATGGGGGGATACAAAAATGAGGGTTTTGTGGAGGTTCTTGCTGCTCAACAAAGTCCGGAGAACCCCAATTGGTTCCAGGTAACTCTTTGTTCCTGCTGCACACAATTCACATATCACTACTGTTATTGTTATTAATTACCGGAGATAGATCTCATCCAATTACTGTGAAGCATATATGAAGCACTTAAAATACCTATTTTCCTGAGCATTCGAGGAGCTGTTTAGACATGCCTTATTTGAGAAGTAATTTTAGGTCTCATTTCGTGCATGACACCTGGAATTAAGCTGCTACAAGATTTTACTATTGATATCAAGCTAGTTTACTTCACAAAGAGGCATAATGCACGCGTACTTGACTACTTGTCTGTAGGGGACTGCTGATGCTGTCAGGCAGTATCTATGGTTGTTTGAGGAGCATAATGTTCTTGAATTCCTCGTACTTGCTGGAGATCATCTATATCGAATGGATTATGAAAAGTTCATTCAAGCCCACAGAGAAACAGATGCTGATATTACTGTTGCCGCACTGCCAATGGATGAAAAGCGAGCCACTGCATTTGGTCTCATGAAGATTGACGAAGAAGGACGCATTATTGAATTTGCAGAGAAACCGAAAGGAGAGCAATTGAAAGCAATGAAAGTAAGACTATCATAGTTCTAATGCTTTTCAATACAAAACTACCCACAAAAGAACTTACAAGCATGTGTTAACTCGTGTTGTGATGTATTTCAGGTGGATACTACCATTTTAGGTCTTGATGATGAGAGAGCTAAAGAGATGCCTTTTATCGCAAGTATGGGTATATATGTCATTAGCAAAGATGTGATGTTAAACCTACTTCGTGATAAGTTCCCTGGTGCCAATGATTTTGGCAGTGAAGTTATTCCTGGTGCAACTTCGCTTGGGATGAGAGTATGTATTTCTCTAGAAGTTACACTTTGCAATTATTTTTACTTAAAACTTTTGCAGTGTACAATGCATCAAAAATTGCATCATCCTTCTATACTATACCTCTAAAGCAATCTACTATTTGTGGGCCTCATTGTCTCAACGTCTTGAGTTCTCTTCCAAATATGGTTATGAACATGATCTCTCTACTCTTGTGCAGTTTTGTGTAGCCCTTCTCAAGTTTTTATATGTTTCTTTCTAGTCTCTTTGTTTCTTCAAAATGTGGAAACTCAAAAAGGAAAGATGAATTATGAGCTAAATTATATTTTAAATTATCAGTTTAACTTTGTTAAGAGTTATTTCAAGAGGTCTTATGCATCTGTGCTCTCAGGTGCAAGCTTATTTATATGATGGATACTGGGAAGATATTGGTACCATCGAAGCTTTCTACAATGCCAATTTGGGCATTACCAAAAAGCCAGTCCCAGATTTTAGGTAATCCTCTCATCTCAATGAGATAGTTCTCTGCAGTTTTCATGGTCTGTTATCCCACTCGCTTGGATTAACCACTGTTGTCTTTAATATTTAATGAAGCTTCTATGACCGATCAGCTCCAATCTACACCCAACCTCGATATCTGCCACCTTCAAAAATGCTTGATGCCGATGTCACAGACAGTGTCATTGGTGAAGGTTGTGTGATCAAGGTAATCATTATTGTTTCAAGGCCTCTACATTTTCTAAGTTGCATTTCTGAAGCCGTCGGTTGCTCTCCATCTCTAAAAGCCATGGTTGCATGAACATCTCGTTCTGGTCACTGTAAGTATGTTATTCTTGACAGCAAACATGTGAGACACATCTTGATGTGTTCAATGTTTTCCATGACCTCATCCATAATCCACGTTCTTTATAATTGAAATCATGCTTACATACAATAGAAAATGAAGTGGAGTATACTGAACTCTCTCCTCACTGGGATGTGCTTGCATTTTCTTCTCTCCTTAATTTGCCATCAAGGAAGCAGAGGGAAAATGATCGGAGATGTTAGATGTTATAGATCTTAATTTTTTTTTGCTTTTTCCTGAAAATTTTGAATACCTCGATGCTACTCCCTCTATTTTTATCTAATTGTCATAGTTTTATGCAGTATGAAGGATAAGAGTGAAACTAAATTATGGTATATTTTAGAGAAAATTAGTCCAAAATATGACACCTAAAGTTAGCTTTTTGATAATATTGAGGTAGCATGAAATTAAGAAATCACTGACTAGTGGAGAATGGACAATATTTTTGTGACTGACCAAAAGGGGAAAGTAAGACAATCTTTTTTGGATGGAAAAAGGTTGTTGTTTATACTACCTTGTGTCTGTGGAGAAAAAACTGAAGTCTTGTAATGAAACGGATCCAGATTTATTGAAATGGACATCGCAGATGGATAGCCAATCCAACTAGGTTATGGTTGAGTTGTAGCAGTAATTATTGTTATTTTAGGCCCTCGAGGAAGGGAGGAGGATGAAGAGAATTGCCCAGACAACTGTCAAACTGTCAACCATCTCTGTCCTTTTCATTTTTTTTTATCAAACTATGCTCCAGAAAACGGAGGAAAGTGATGTACCAGTACATACTTG